AGTCCTTGTCCTGACTGTTGATGTACAATTTAATACTTTATCCCTTTTAGTATTTTTTTGTTCTACTTAATATTACTGGTTGAACTCTGTAATTAACCTGTAATTAACACACAATTATTCTTAGGTGTGTAAATTTAACTGTAAAGTGATCCCTGTTAAATATAAGAGTGGGAATAAGAGAGGGAGGAGATGTACAATTTGGGACATGCTCAATCGGACTTGTCCCAAATGGTGGAGTTAGAAATGTGCCAGGGGATTCCAATACAATCCCATCAAGATTGCATGTACCAATGCCATCTCACTAGTCCAAGTGATCAATTTCAGTTCACAGTTGATCACACTGATAGGTCTAAGAGTCAAAGGGATCACACAAACAAGACTAGTGTCTGCTAATACTAACTGTTAGAATAAAAAAAGGGAGAGAATGATCCAACATGGGAAGTGGGATACACAGCAGACCCATAGAATGGCAGATGTCCTAAACAGCACTCTGGCCTCAGAATCAGCCCTTAAGGCATTCGGATCTGGCTGAAGAGCCCATGAGAGTATTTTAGGCATGGAAAGCCAAGACACTCTGGCAAAAAAAAAAAGAGGACCTAAATGAAAGATCTCTGCGAGTGAGATCCCAGCAGAAAGAAAAGGCCATCAAAAAAGAAGGTACCTTTCTCTGAAGGAAGGAGAGAACTTCCACTTTGACTATGACCTTGTCTAAATAAGATCGAAGTCAGCGAACTCAAGAGGCTTCCATAGCCTTTGCAACTCATGACTAGAGCCTAGGGAGATTTCTGATGCCATAAACAAGAGTGTCAAATTGTTAAGTCAACAACAGGAGTCACTGTGTACTTACTCCTCATGTGAGATCTCTGTCCTTAATGTGTTGTCCAATGTGAAGTAATGCTATACCTAGTACTGAAACAGTATTTTGCAGCACTTTATGTTCTGTGTGGGTGCAAACTGATGAAATCTTTACTTAATATATACTAAATTGATCTTCTGTATATAAAGAGAATTGAAAATGAATCTTGATGTGAATGGAATGGGAGAAGGAGAGGAGATGGGAGGGATGCGGGTGGGAGGGAAGTTGTGGGGGGGGGAGACATTGTAATCCATAAACTGTACTTTGGAAATTATATTTACTAAATAAAAGTTAAAAAAAAATAAAAGAAATCGGGTCACATGGTTGTTGTGTAAAAACACTCAGGAGTTCACAACTTTGTGTGCGTCCATCAATGGGAATTAATGGGGATGGAAATGCAGAAACTTAAAAAGGATGACCATCCTGTGTTGACCCATGTTTGTAACCATGCCAAATGACTGGTATGCAGCAATATTGAGAACAAAGAGGCATAATGTTTTTTTTTTATCTTTTATTTAATGAATATAAATTTCCAAAGTACGACTCATGTGTTACAATGGCTTCCCCCCCCATACCGTCCCTCCCACCCACCACCCTCCCCTTTCCCACTCCCTCTCCCCTTCCATTCACATCAAGATTCATTTTCGATTATCTTAATATACAGAAGATCAGCTTAGTATACATTAAGTATGGATTTCAACAGTTTGCTCCCACACAGAAACATAAAGT